TGAACCCATACAACTCAATAGAAAAACAAAACAAAACAAAAAACCCAATTAAAAAATGGGCAAAGGACCTGAACAGGCTTTTTTCCAAAGAAGATATACAAATAGGTACATGAAAAGATGCTCAACCTCATTAGTCATTAGGAAAATACAAATCAAAACTACAATTATCACCTCATGCCTGTCAATGGCCAACAAAAAGATAAGATACATTCTGGTGAGGATATGATGAAAAGGGAACCCTATTGTACTGTTGTTAGGACTGATCCCGTCACTATGGAAAACAGTATGGAGAATCCTTTAAAAATGAAAAATAGGACTCCCAAATGACCTACTAATTCCATTTGGGAATATATCCAACGGAAACAAAAGCACTAACTTGAAAAAGATATCTGTACTCACATGTTCATTTGTAATAGCCAAGACATGGAAACAGCCTAAGTGTCCACTGAAAAACAAATGGATAAAGAAGCTGTAGTATATACATTAAAAAATGAAGGGCCTCTGGGCCCTGGACTGTTTGCTCAATGGTTAGAGCGTCAGCTCATGGACTGAAAGGTTATATTGGAGTCAAGAGCACTTACTTCAGTTGCAGGCTTGATCCATGCCCATATCCGGGCATGTATGGAGGCAACCAATCAATGTGTCTCTCTCACATCGATGTTTCTCTTTCCCCCTCCCTTTCACTCTCTCTAAAAGTCAATGGGAGCTGAAACCAGTTTTGGCTCAGTGGATAGAGTGTAGGCCTGTGGACTGAAATTAAAGGTCCCAAGTTTGATTCTGGTCAGGGGCACATCCCCAGTAGGGATGTGCAAGAGGCAGCTGATCGATGTTTCTCTCTCATGGATGTTTCTAGCTCTCTATCCCTCTCTCTTCCTCTCTGTAAAAAATCAATAAAATATATATTTTTAAAATCAACGGGAAAAAATATCCTCAGATGAAGATTAACAACAACAAAAAAAGGAAATCCAGCCATTTACAACAACATGGATGGACCTTGAGGGTATATGCTAAGTGAAATAAGTCAGAAGACAAATTCTGGATCATTTTGTTTAAATGTGAAATTCAAACACAACAAAATTATTTCTCCTTCCAAAAAAGTAAACTCATAGAAAAAGAGATCAGATTTTCAGTCATTAGAGGCAGAGGAGGGATGGAGAGAATGGGAACTGAAGCAAGGTGGTCAGAAAGTACAAATTTCCAGTTACACGGTAAAGAAGTACTAAGGATGGGATGTACATGACTACAGTTAACACTGCTGTATAACATGTTAAAATTAGGGAGTAGACTTTTTCTTCAATTTATGAGATGATGGATATAATCATATCACAGTATATGCAAGTCAAACCATTAAACTTATACAGAGATGCATGTCAATTAGATCTCAATAAAACTGGAAAGAAAAGAAAAAAAACATTTCCAACTGTAAGAATCCAAAGAAGGCCCCTCCATTATGGAGCTAAATGCTATCTATATATCCCTTGAAACACTATCTCATCCAGCAGCCCTGTGGTGACATCAACAGAGACATCAAAGCAAAGCAGTATAAGGGGAATAAGAGATCATGGGGTATGTATGGGGTGGGGTGGGAAGGAGACTTTATTGGGCCCATAGGTATTTGGTGATTCCTAGAGGAAAACGAGATTCCATTGTGATGACCTAAGCCCAAATATGAAGATCTCAGTTTTGGCTCAATAAGCGCACACAGTGAGCTGGGCTGAGTGCCGGGTACTCTTGTATGTACTCATTGTATTCTCACACCAACCCTGCTTAGAGTCTCCCTGTTATGGATGAGAAGCCAACTGGCCTGACCAATGTCATGGATCTAATCAGAGGCACAGACTTGACTGAACTTGGCTGTCTCAACTTACTTACAACTTCCCATTCCAGACTTAGTGCTCCAGTCTTCAGAGGGAGGTGTCTAAGAATCCTTATTTTTATTAAGTGGCTTAAAGGATGATTTTCTTGTTTAGGAAAATTTGAGAGAAAAAAATAAAACATACAAAACTTATAATCCCAAGACACAGGGTCATTTGGATTTCTTGGTTAATGTTGAGGTTCTTAGGAACCAAGATGATATCTTAAGGAAGGCTGGGAAACATATGTAGGAACTTCTGTACAGCTGTTACACCTCCCTTTACTTTCTATGGACAGGGAACCAAGACTCAGAAGTTTTAAATGGCTTGTTCAAATCCACTCAGCTGTTATTTGGTCACACCAGCGTCAATCCTGTTGCCGGAGTCTAGTTCTCCTTCTACTGTGAACATTTTGGCTGATAGTTTCACGTGTAAGCTTTCTTTCCCTTGCTGGAATGTCAAGTTCATCTGAGCAGGCCCTGACGACTTCTGTACTTAGCACAATGCTTGGCATAATCTGCGGTCATCTGTCAACCTTTCACAATATGGGCCCCTAGTTCTGGGACAATCCCACTGAGTTTCTATAATTTTTGCTGGGCTTTGGGTTACAGAGGAATAAAAATGAATCTGTAAGCACAAGACAACCCAACATAAATTCCACCCGATTGGCCTACCTGTAGCTCGCCAGTAGAACAATCATCAGATGACCACATTTCCAGTTGTGGTGTAAGATCTAAAATTAACCCTCAATATTGTAAGCAAGAAAACCAGAAGGGCTTCAAACGGCCTAACTGCAAGTTTCCCTCCTCACTCTGCTCTTGTGGATAATGTTCCCTCAACAACCCTACTGATCAAAGGACCAGGCATGGTTCCTGCTTATAGCAGTTACCGGGCGTCCCTGGACTTATTCAGACAAGTAATAATTAATGTCGTTTTTAAACATTCGTTTAAAATCTTGCTTGGCATTGACTTGTATTGACATAACCTTCAAACACGTGGTATCTACAGAACGTGTGAAGTGCAATTAACAAGTTTTGCTTGAAAAAGTTTGTGTTTGGTTTGGTTTTTGTTGCAAAACTAGGGCTAAGAAGATGGCAGATGAAGAGCATATTCGGCACTGCATGCTTTACGAGTTCCAATTAGGAAGAAAAGCAAGTGAGGCTGCAAAAAACATCTGTAGTGCTCTTGGTCAAGATGCAGTTAGCGCCAGAAAATGCCAGGGTTGGTTTGAGAAATTTCGCGAGGGAAATTTTTCGTTAGATGACAAGAGTGGTCGAGGCCGTGTGTCCAATTTTGATCAAGAAGCTCTTCAAGCTCTTTTGGTGCAAAATCCTCAAATTACCCAACAAGAGCTTGCGACAACTTTAAATTGTTCACAAAAAACAATTTCCAATCAATTGCGTGCACTTGGCAAAGTCCAAAAGTTTGGAAAATGGGTTCCTCATGAGTCGTCTGACAACAACCGTAATCAAAGAGTCACAATTTGCAGTTCGCTCCTCTCTCGTCAAAACCGTTTGCCGTTTTTAGAGCAAATTGTTACCGGAGATGAAGAATGGGTGCTGTATGTTAATTTGAAAAGGCGGCCTCAATGGTTGGACAAAAATGAGGCTCCGCAGCCCACGCCAAAACCTGACTTGCATGCGAAAAAAGTGATGTTGTGTGTTTGGTGGAATTTTAAAGGAATTCTTCATTATGAACTTTTACCATCTAACCAAACCATTACAAGTGCAGTGTATAGTGCCCAATTGGAAAGGTTAGCCCAAGCTTTAAGAGAAAAAGAACCCGCGTTGATTAATCGGAAGGGCGTAATTCTTCACCACGATAACGCACGACCGCATACTGCAAGAATCACTGCTGAAAAACTGCGCCAGTTGGAATGAGTAGTTCTCCCTCAACCTGCATATTCTCCTGATATTGCCCCTTCCGATTACCATTTGTTTCGTTCTTTGCAAAACTTTCTTCTCGGAAAAAAATTTAATAATGAAGAATGCCTCAAAAATGCATTGACCGAATTTTTTGCATCAAAATCACAAGAATTTTACAACAGAGTGATTAAAATGCTTCCTGAGCGTTAGGCACAAGTAGAAAACAACGGCAACTATATTGTTGATTAAATTTTGTTGTATTGTTTAAATAAATTCAATTTAAAAAAGTATTAGAAAACGACATTATTACTAGACCTAATACCTGGATTGTGGGCTTGGTCCAACCAGCAGAAGGCAGCCTATCAATGATTCCCTTATCATTGTTTTTATCTCTCTCTTCCTCTCTAATAAAATCAATATAAAAAAGTGGCTGAGCACATGCACATAAAAGAACATTCACTGTATGAAGTAAATGTTCACTGAGAATAGCAGTGAACTTGGCTCTCTCCACGTTCAGCAAAGCTGCCTGAAAGACCAGGGCTTCCCACACAGCTGGGCAGGAGGAAGGTGAATCCTTAGGTGTGGGCTAGAGAATTTTGAGGCTGGCTCACTTCCACCTGACAGGCTACCTTCCTCACACCACAAAGGCCCTCCAGAGCCTGCCTGTATGCTGCAGACAGCCCCCCCTAGCTACCCATGTGCCTTTAAACAGGTACCACATAAACTGACTCCCTGGGGCAGGTTAATATTGGGTGCTCTGTACTTACCGATCCTTCCTAGTAGTCATGGGCAAAAAAATCATTACGGGAGCTGTTAAGGGAGCATCTGTTGAGACTACCCAGAAGGAATTCATGCCAAAGCCTACACTCTTGAAGTAGAAGTTAAGACAGAAGAGAAAAAACTCAGCCATTCTTGCTCAATATCTGGGAAGAGGCATGGTTACTAAGTGGTTACTAAGCCAAGTTCATCTGCACAGAAGACTAGAGGAAAGCCAAAAACCCGTAATGCTGAAAGCAGGTGGACAGGGTGCAGAAATCCATTCAGGGAGCTGGAAAGGAGGAAGATACTCTCAGCCCTTCCTGCTCCAACTCAGGCTCAATTCTCCCACTAAATTATCATCCCTAGAAAACACACATGGACACCAGCTACCTCAAAAACTAGGTTTGTATTTCTGGTTAGGTTTCAGAGTGGCAGAACTTAGAGTTATACTATATCCAACCTGGTCCCCACATCAGCTTGCTTGCCTCCCTCCCTCCCACAAAGATAACATTATACAAAACTTTATTTACAGAAAAACCAGTTAAAAATTAAGGGTGTGTACAAAAGTAGACATGAGAGCCAGAAATATCAATGCAGGGAAAGCTGTGGGGCTCACGGGGCATTGTATTCCACACTGGACCCAGGGCAATATGTCACCGTGTTTTCCCGAAAATAAGACCTAGCGCATGGAAAGATAAGACATCCCCTGAAAATAAGACCTAGCGCAACTTTGGGAGAAAAAATTAATATAAGACACTGTCTTATTTTCGGGGAAACAGGGTATGTACCAGGCAGGGAGCAGCACAGCGAATCTCAGTGCCAATTTCAGGGGAAACTAATCACTCCAGGGGAAGTCTTAATTATCCAGCCACCCTTCTTCTGCCATATGGGTTCAGAGCCAGGTAGCGAGGAAAACAAAACACAAAGTCTCTGACAAGCCCCACTGAAAAAAGAAGGACTCAGAAGGCATAGCGGGTCCGGATGTCCTCAAGCTTCTTGGACACCTCAGGGGGGGTTCGGTCCAGTTCTTCAGAGACATTCTTTTGTTTGTTGGGCTCCATAGAGTTGAACTGCTCACAGAGGTCTCCATCAATCACATTCTAGGGCATGGAAAAATGAGAGCAAAAGAAAAAGGTTAGATGGCAAAAAAAAAAAAAAAAAAAAAAATGGCACATACTAAAGCAGCAGCTGCAAGCAAAGCCTTTTATTCTACAAATACCTTAACCCCATTTACAGAGGCAGGAACACTACGGTAGTGATTCTTAGCAGCCAGAGTTCAGATGAGCAAAGCTAGTTGGAACCTTTTCTCTGGCTGTGCTCTGCCTGGAGCTCTCCCATTACTGTCTCCATCAGTCCACTCCCTTGATGCTCCTTTATTCGGGCTATTCGGATTTTTTGGGCACCAGACAATGTGACTTTTATTCTTAAATAACTACTGTACAAAAGCATATTACAATAAAATGTATGTATAACTACAAAGTAATACTAATTTTTTTTTTTTTAAGAAACTGGAGACTCTTTCGCCATTGTATGTTTTAGACTCCTCTGTCAAAAAGGAGGAGTCTCGGCCATTGCTGAATGACACATGAACCAAAAGGCCCCAAATTGATTCCCTGGTTGCAGGCTCAATCCCCAGTAGAGGGCATGCAGGAGGCAGCCAATCCATGTTTCCTTCTCATTGATGTTTCTGTCTCTATCCCTCTCCCTTCCTCTCTCTCTAAAATCAATACATATTTTTAAAAATTAAATATTTGCCCATATTTCTGGCCTCTCAATTCTGTTCCATTGGCCTGTTTGTCTATTTTTCTGCTAACATGCTGTTTGGATTATTGTTGCTTTGTAGTATTTTTTGAAATAAGGGAATGGGATATCTTCAGCTTCTTTCTTTTTTCTCAAAATTGCTTTGGTAATGTTTATACAGTTCATGCAAATCTCCATCACTATGCCATATTATAGCAATTTTAAGGTAGAAGTTCCTAATTTACTGTAATTATTCTGCATTCCAAATAGCCATCAAGCCATCATTTTGTTTTGTTTTTTGTTTTGTTAATCCCACCTGAGGATATATTTTTTTCATTTAATTTTAGGGAGAGTGGAAGAGAGAGGCAAAGATAGAGACAAGCACTGATGTGAGAGAAACATATCATTTGGTTGCCTCCTGCATGAGCCCCGATCAGGGTCCAGGCCGGGGAGGAGCCTGCAGCCAAGGTACGTGCCCTTGACTGGAACTGAACCGTCGCTCTATCCACTGGGCCAAACCAGCTAGGGTCAATCCATCATTTATTTATTTTTGTATTTTATTAACTTTTTTACAGATGAAGAGAAAGGGATAGAGTTAGAAACATCGATGAGAGAGAAACATCGATCAGCTGCCTCCTGCACACCTCCCACTGGGGATGTGCCCACATCCAACGTACGTGCCCTGACTGGAATCGAACCCGGGACCTTTCAGTCCACAGGCTAATGTTCTATCCACTGAGCCAAATCGGTTTTAGCTCAATCAATCATTTTAACAGTCTAACTTTGACCAATGTTTCACGTGAAACTTCACCTGAAACCCAAAGCTTAGCTGTCTGTTTTCTGAAACCATCAATTGATGAACACTCTAGCTTCATTACTCTGCAACTGTGTGAGGGTGGAGCCTAAAGGCTAGCATTGACTCAGGGAGAATCCAGCAGGCCCAGGACAGGCTTGGTGAGGAGCTGGCAGCCAGTGGGGGGCTATGCAGTTGAGAAGGGGACTATTCTGATTTTAAAGTGTGTGTGTGTGTGTGTGTGTGTGTGTGTGTGTGTGTGTGTGTGTGTTTTATTGACTTGGGAGAGGAAGAGAAACAGAAACATCAATGATGAATCACTGGTAGGTTCCCTCCTGCATGCCCCTACTGGGGATTGAGCCCAAAACCTGGGCATGTGCTCTGACTAGGAAATGAATAAGTGATCTCCTGGTTTATAGGCTGATGCTCAACCACTGAGCCACACGGACCCAGCAGGACTATTGTGATTTTTAAGGGAGCAAAAAGACCAAAGAAAATACTGGTTAAATGGGGTGATTTCCCCTTTTCAATCTACATTTCCAGCAAAGACCTACCTTAACAGGGAAATAATAAGAGCGAAAGCTGAGGTGGTCTCGCCCACAAAGAGGAGGATGCTCAGACCGGAGGTGCATTTCCACATGCTGGAAGAAGTCATGGTCCTGGCAAAAAAACAAAGAATCTGTGACTAAAAGACAAAAGTGATCTCAACTATTAGTCTGTAGTTTCCAGAAGCACAATGAGCAGAAAAGCCAGACTTTTATCATATTAAACATCAAAATCACTCCTCTGATGACCAAAGATTATCTTGCTACAACAAAAGAGCTAAACCCCAAAAGAAAACCTCCTTGTTCTTGTAAAACATGAAAACACCGTCTGTAAAGAGTAGTTTGTGAAGTCAGCTTCTTTATGCTCACTTCTTTGGTTGGAATAACTAAACCAAATTTAGCCAATCCTAGATTTGACTCTTAAGAGGTAAAAAGTGCCCCAGTCCTATCATACCAACATTCCTAATCTGTGGGGTTTGGTCTAAGGCTTTGGCTTATAATTAACCCTATACCCTGACAAGGCTTTTCCCATGGGGCTAAATAAATGAATCGGGATTCCTATATCCTCAGGCATTTTTGTCAGCTTATGAAATTTCCAGAACACTAGTTGCAGGTAGGGACAATGGATTTGCTCCCTTAAGCAGATTTAGCACAAAGAAAGCACCTTGGGAAGGCAAAAGCCAGAGCAGAGTGGAGAATTCACCTCATGAGATGTGAACGGAACAAGGATGCCAATTCCTCCCGACAAGGTGGTGTAGACAAGCGATTCTGAGCCTCCAGGGATTAGTGTCGTCTTCTGTAACGACAGCACTGTCTCCCCCACATGATAGTTCATGATCACCTCTGCCTGCAAGTCAAAAACAGACCAGTTACTGTGAGGACCTCAGGAGCCTGTTCTCCATTCCCATGAGCAGATTTCACCTCTCAAAACCCCCACATTACTAAAATTTATGTTAAAAATGTTCTTAACATTTAGAGCTTAAAGCCCTTATAAACATGCAGACATGAGGTAATTTCTGACAAACAGCCAACCCTAGGCATGCTCCCCAAAAGGAAAGGTATTTTTTGAAGTCCACAGATGTTCTGTTACAGAAGCAGAGTAGGGCCAGCACACATCTGAGAAGCGCTGGAGAGAATGATCCTATGCAGCCATCGTTTGCAAGGATCTCACTATGTTTCAAAGAGATTTTATGCTGCTAAATGTCTCAGAAAAATTTCTACTCCAGCCTAGCCTCGGAAGCCCAAAAACGGGATAGTGAGTGACTTGGACACTTTAAGTCAAACCCAGTGTCCATCCGTCACAGGCTACATACTATCAACTTAGGGACTTCCATGCATGCAAGAGAGTACATGTAGTGTGGTCACATGCACTGTGGATAATTCACTAAAACATGCTTCCTCGGTGCAGGTCAAGGGAACTGTGCTGCACAGGCTGGTGCCTCTCCTTTGGGCCCCTCCTGAATCTTACCTTCTGAGAGGCCCCATTGAGCAAGCCCCGGTCCCACAGGGCTTTGTTTCCTGTGGGGTCCTCATCCACTTCGTCATTGGTGTTAGGTGGGAGCCTCACCTACAAGGAAGTGACAAATCACAGTGCTGGGTCCTGCATCTACTTACCTGGAACACCAATCAACACGTGCGCCCCAGGTCCTTGCAAGTAAACCTAGGGGCACTGCCTTTGGCAGAGGCCTGAGCCCGTCCCCTGCACCTATGCTGGTGTCCTAGGAGTGAGAAACTCAAGACATTCAACCCATGAGCAAGAGCAAAAAACAAAGACCACAGAACATAAACAAGAGAAGTCAGATGGGGCTTAAAACAATAAACCAAAATCCAGTCAAAATGTGAAAATAAATATTAGGCATTAGCTCAAACGGAACTATTATTATTAAATCATGTCCCATGGGGAAGAGGGAGATAAAAAGGGGGCGGGGGGGGGGGAATCTAAAAAATGGATAACATTTAGAAGAACACAAAGTTCTTTTTAGAGTGAGCCTTAGTAGGGCTAAATTGTATACCCAATTTTACTTTCCATACTAGAGATCATATCCTGGATTCTCCACAAACGGAGCCAGCTTTTATACACAACACTATATCCCAAGTAAATATCAACTCACCACACAAATGTTGCCAAACTTGTCTGCCCCAGCCACAGTGTCATAATCGAGAAGGCTAGCCGTAGTGACCCACCGGGGGTAGGTGTCATCGGCGAAGATGATGAGCTGGTTCTCATTACGCTTGTAGCGAACCCAGATGAAACTTTCTTGGACGTCAGACACAATTACCCTGTGCCCGATAGTCTGGATCCCAGAGATGTAATTGGCAATATGCTGGAAAAAACAAGGACAACAGTGGGTATAACCTTGAGCTCCCCTAGCCTAACACCAGGACAGGACGCGCACCTTGAGGTCCCACCCCCCCCCCAGCAGGGTGTGTGGCCTCAGGTCCCCTGTCAAGCTCCACAGGGACAAGAGTGGGGACCCGTGGAGGACAGAAACATGGTTCTTAGTTTAAAGAAATCAAGAAACCGATCTTCTCATGCCTGTCTCAAGTCTCACGGGCCTAATTCTGAACCTGAAATTAGATGACTGTAACAAGGTCCTAACAAAGACCGATTTTAACATTGCCATGCCAATGCCTCCCCTTCCTTCCTCACTAGCTAGATCTGGGGCTTTTTACCATCATATTTACCTTGTTCTCACATTTTCGAAGTAACTTCTTTTTTCCCAGGTCATAGACTCGCAGAAGCTTCCCCACACCAATCAACACCCTTCCCTGGAATGGAGCAATGGCAGCAGGGACTTCTTCCACTGGAGTCTGAGGAAAAACAGGTAATGC